CTTGGTATTCCTGTGCTTCAGGGCAGGGGAAAGCAAGTCACAAAGTTCCATGAAAGTGCCCTTATGCATGCGAAAGTTTCGCAGCCACTGGGAATCATCTCAGACCTGCAACACTATGTGGTCCCACCAGTCTGTGCTTGTTTCCCGAGCCCAGAATCGGTGTTCCACGGCATGAGCCTGCCCCATTGCCACCAGGATGTCCAAATATCCAGGGCCCATACTTTGAGAGAAGTCTGTGTCCATGTCCTCATCACTCTCATCACTGCACTGCCATTGCCTCCTCGCCTGCTTTTGCAGGTTCTGGTTCTGAACATACTGCAGGATAATGGGTGAGGTGTTTACAATGCTCATAACTGCTGCGGTGATCTGAGCAGGCTCCATGCTTGCTGTGGTATGGCGTCTGCAGGAGAGCAGAGTTGCAGCGGAAGCGGTGGCTGACGACGGATGTCACGAGAATAGATGTTTATAGAGAACGACGAGAGGACCTGCGAGGTGGATTCATGTGAGCAGGAGAGTGCAGAGTTGCAGCGGAAGTAGAAGCCCATGACAGCTAACATGGAGAAATTCGTTATCGAGACAAGAGGAGGAGAGCAGAATTGCAGTGGAAGCGGTGGTTCGATGATGATGGTTAGCAGTCCTACTGCACCACCTGCTGACAGCAGTATGGCGTCCGCACAGAAAAAAGGTACGAAACAATTGTCTGCCATTGCTTTCACGGAGGGAGGGGCAACTGACGACATGTACCCCAAACCACCCGCGACAATGTTTTTGCCCCATCAGGCATTCTATAAATTCTACCTAATTTCGTAATGTAGACATACCCTTACACACCTTCCCCTTTCACCTAGGTGCATGCTTTATTGTCTCTAATCACTCCAGTCCAACAATAAGACTGCAAGCTCTTCAGAGTAGGGATCTTTTCTTAGAAGCAACTAGCACATTTGCAGGTACTATAAAGTAATTAACAATTATTATAATGACCAAAATCACAGATCTAAACTCAGCCCCACCTCTAGAAAACAACAGAGGGAGGGAAGAAGGAAAAGGCTGAACTATATTCTGTATGGAAGGCACCAGCTCTGGGGGAAGCTGGCAAAATGGAAACTCTTCCTACAAAATGTTGCTTGTACAGATCCCTGTGCTGCCCTGTATCGTTTTACATTTTGGTCCTGAGGAGCCTCTGGCAGCCATCCTGCTGAGTGACCAGTATGCCCAATTAATCCTCCGTTCACTGGGCCAAATCAAGTCTTGTTGTAAGCAGGTGCAGCTCAAGATGGAATTGCTCCCCACTACACTAGGGCTGAATTTGGTCCACTGAGTTTAACAGACTCATTGGAACCAAAGACCTGCAGAGCCATCCAACCATCTTTGGGCAGTCAGAGCAGTGCAGTAATGGGTAAGCAGGCATTTGGGTTCACACTGGCTCTCTCTGGTGCAGTAAATATGGAGTTCATTCTTGCATGTAGCAGGTAGCTGATCTAAAGTTATTTCTTGTTCTTTAAATATCACCCCAGAGAGTGATTGGAATTGGATGGTCCAGTGAAAGGGAACTTGCCTAAGACTTGGGAGACCAGCGTTCAACTGCCTGCTCTGCCATAGACTTCCTGTGTGACCTTGGATAGGTCACTTAGCCTCTCTGAGTCTTGGTTTCCATCTGTAAAATGGAGGTAAATATCGTCCCAATATCGCTGGGATGCTGCGAGGCTAAATACACTAAAGGTTATGAGGTGCTTGGATATCACAGGAATAGGGGCCATATAAGTACCTGAGAGAGAGCAGCTGTATGCTGGACAAAATCATGGTGGTACCACAGTTTCCTTTTCCTCTTTGATTTTCCTTTTAAACTCACTCCTTCTTTAAGGTTATGAAACCTGAATCTTCGCCTCAAGGTACGAGAGGGAGGTGTGTGGGGTGGAAGCCTATAACCCTCATCATATGTGCTTCACTAGCCTGATAACATGCATGATTCTGTTGCTTTAGCCCTCATGTGCCCTTCTCCCTACCCCACTGCAGTGTTTGTCACGATCCCTTGTTACTTTTCTTCTGATTGTAATTTAAATTGTAAACTTTGGGGCAGAAACATTGAGTCACGTTCTCTTTCCACTTACATTAGTGTCCAGATTAACTCCATTATACTCGGGAGTATGGTGTAAACGAGAGCAGAATTTGACCCTGTTGTCTTTTGTCTGTAAAGCCCCATGCCCATTTACGGCCCTGTGGAAAGAATAGACAATACTAATATGCTCAGTGGCAAGGGTGTGGCAGAAGTGTAAAGTGATGTTTGCTTTTGTTTCTTTGGGGACAAAGAGTCCCCACTGAGCACAGAAACTTTGGGTGGGTATTTTGAATGTAAACATGGTGACAAATGTTCTGTTCCCCACACCCACAAAGCCAAATTTGATTTAGCTGCTGTGCTGGGCATTTATTCATTCTTTAGAACAGCGTAGTACATCAGCAGCATGTTGGAGAACCACAAAGGGATTCAGTTACCAGAAAAAAGACCAGAGAGGAAAAGCACTAGCTGGTGCTGGGGAGAGGGAAATAAACTAAACGGGCTTGTAATAGCAATAATGACCTTGATCCAAGGCATTCTTTGGGGGCAGTTAATAATCAGATGGGATTAATGGCTCTTGTTTCTCCCTGGGCTGCCCACAATATGCCTCAGGCCCTGATTGCTAGTGTTTACATTTGAATAATCCCACAGATAAATTGAACCTATGGATAATCCCATATTCTTCTCATTTCTGAATTCCAGTGTTATGAAGTAAGTTTGCATGGACAGCAAAATTCCTCAGACAGGAAGCCTCTCTCCTACTTTGCTCTATTCTCTTCCTTCCCCAAAACAAAAATGATGTTTCTGTGCAATAAACACTATCCAAAATTATTTGTTGCTGATATCCCCAGACCATCTCTAGTCAATATTCAGGTCCCTTGCAATGGAGAGGACAAGTATTTGTGTACCTGCTCCATCATCATTCATTCATTAGAAATCTTGGCCTGCATGCAGGATCAGTAGCTAGTTTATCTACATGGGTTAGTAGTTCTGACATGGGATTGCATTCTCTTTCCACTTTACAAATGGATGTCTCGTAGCTGTAAGATCTTTGTTTCACCCAGTCTACCTGACCCTTCTTTGAAGGTTCTGCTGTTCTTCCTGGTCTTTCTGGACTAGCGTTTCCAGAAGCATCTTCTCTTCACTAAAGAAGGGATTGCACAATCAACAATGCTGATTCAATGCACCAAGGGCAGGTGAAGTATAGGCTATTCCCATCAAAGGTCATGCACACCTCACATGCATTGCCAGCATCAGTTTGCAAGTCCTTATTTCCTGTGCTGGGCCCTATGTCACAGCAGTGTCCCTCTAGCTGAGGGTAGGAACTAGGTCCCCTCAATAACACTGGTACCCATGATGCAAAGTGTTCGGTAGGCATCTCCATTACAAGAAATTTAAAATAGTAAATTATGGTAGAAGCTTAATCGTTGCATGAATTTGGTGTTCTGCAACCAAACCATCTTGGGCTGTGGCCGCGTCAGATCTCTTAAGAGAAGCAGGGTTGAACCTTGGCATTACCTGGATGAGAGAACTCCAGGGTAAATCCAGAGCTACAAGAAGAGTTGGTGCTTCTCTGCAAGTCAGTACTGAATCAGTACCCCTAATCTAGTGGTAGAGGGTGCTGTACTGTAGGAAGTGGGGCTAGTGACTCAGTAGTTACTCTGGACCAGTTAAAAAAACAATGTCCCAGTATAGGGTTATGGGGAGAGGGGATTATGTAAATCAAGGTGCTATCTTTCAGATGAAAAGCAAAACAGAGGTCCTGACCTGTGATCACTGAAGAACCTACAGTGCTCTTAAAAGTAAGCCCTAGCCAAATTCCAGTTTGGGATTTATACCATGCCTTCCCAGGCTCCCCCTGCAATTCCAACTGCATATGGGGTTGGGCGGCTGCTGCACTTCCTGGCCCTGAATGCTCGAGTCCTGTTGCTCTGTGCTTTGGACAATTACTGCAGGTAGTAGAGACTATAGTCTTGATTTTGCAAGGAATGTCAGGCCTGTCTATGGATACTTTAAAGGATTAACTAGGGTGGGATTAAATTGCTGCCCTTGGGCAGGCCAGTCCTATATTATTATTGTTTTATTTGTTTTAACAGTGCCCAAAAGTGCCTGAGGAGCTGCCCAACATAAAAGAGATAGCCCCTGCCCTGAGGAATTTACAAACTAGTCTTAGGGGTATGTCTACACTGCAATTAGACACCCATGGCTGGCCTGTGCCAGCTGCCTCGAGCTCACGAGGCTCGGGCTAAGGGGCTGTTCACTGTGATGTAGACCTTCGGATTCGGGCTGCCCCCCCAGTGGGTTTTTAATTGCAGTGTAGATGTAGCCAAGGTAACCCCAATGTGTGAGTTAGCAGGATGGGAGGGAGGGCAAAAGGAGGCCGAAAGATGGGGCTTGTGGGAGCCAAGGAAGGCTCATGGGCGGCAGGCAGGAGTGAAGAGGTTCTTAAAGAAAAATACACTGTGCAGGTGGGCGACTTAGCTGGTCTCTCGGCAGAAGAGTAGGGAGAGGGTAGTGGCGCTGCGGCCCAGCTCAGGCGGGTGTGCCTGGGGGAACTGCTGCCCTGTGGGTGGTACATGTGTGAGCAGGAGAGGAACTCTGGGCCCTGGGCACAGTGGGTGCTCTCCAGGGGCTGGCTCGGGCGTTGGGAAAGGCCTGGCTCGGGCGTTGGGAAAGGCCTGGCTCGGGCGTTGGGAAAGGCCTGGCACGGGGCTTGGCACATGCCTCTTTGACTTGCTGCTTTCTCCCCTGCGCCCTGCTGCCTTTTCCCCTGGGGCGAAGGAACGCCTGGCTGCTTTGCCAGGCTAATGCCCATGCCCCGGGCTCCGCACGTGCCTCTGGCTGAACTCCGGCCTCCCCCGGGCCGCTCCCTCTCTGCCCCCTTCTGGTCTCCACCCGGGGCGCCGCCCGTGTGTGCACCGAGCCGGCGGGAGGCCGCGTCTCCCGGGCAGAGCGCTCTCCGCCCTCCGCCCTCCGCCCTCTCCCTGGGGCTTCCATAGGCTGCTGCCTTGTTTGCACGCGGGGCCGGCTGGTTTTAGGGCTGGGCTGCAGGGATGACAAAGCAGAGGCGAGCTGGGCTCAGCCCTCCTCCTCCTCCTCCTCCGGCTGCCCAGCGCTGCTGTTATGGAAACCAGCCCGGCGTGCCAGAGCAGATAATGGGGCAGCCATGGCCCAGGCCGGCAGCAGCGGCGGCGCAGCCCCCCAGGAGAGGGCGGGGGGCCCGGACCCCTGGGAGCTGTCCTTGGAGGAGGTGCTGAAGTCCTACGAGCAGCCCATCAATGAGGAGCAGGCGTGGGCCGTGTGCTACCAGTGCTGCCGGGGGCTGGCGGGCGCGGAGGGGCGCTGGGGGCCGGCGGGCCGGATCCAGGGCACGGCGGGCATCCTGCTGCACAAGGACGGGACGGTGACCGCCCGGGGGGAGCAGGGCTCGGCCGGTGAGTGCCACCCGGGGCGGGGTCTCCAGGGGGTCACAGCGCCCAAAGGCGGGCTGGCGGGGGGCGCAGGACTCCCTCCACCCCCCAATGCAGAGGGGAGTGGGGTGGGGGGGCTGCTGAGGGTAATCTCGGGGCCTGGGGCCCCCTCCCCATATTGCAGAGGCTGCGGGTCTGGGGCCGGCTCTGCAGCCCTCTGATCGCAGCCTCCGGAGCCGAATTTTCCAGGGCCATCCGGAGGGAAAGTCCGAGCCAGGCCTGGCTGTGAGGGGCGCTCCCTGCAGGGACCCTAGGGGTGGTGATCAGTCTGCACCCCAGGCTCCTGCCACCTCGTTTGCAGGGTGCACCCGAATGTCTGCCCCCCACACACACACATACACATCTGGGCAGCTGCTTCTCCTGGGGTCGGCGGCAGAGGGTTGCGGTGAATTCCTGCCTGTTTACAGCCCTGCAGCTCAGCTAGCCGCCTGTCGCAGCCTTGGGGAGGAGAGGCCCCCGGCTACACAGCGCCTGTGGTGTGTGAACACTTCCCCTTGGACATTGGAGACAGCCTCTGAATTACAGACAGCGTGTCAATAGGTGTATTTGTAACTGAGAGTTGTGATCAGCCAACAGCTCTCTGTACAAGACATCTAACGTACAGCAGCCCAGGTCGTGGGAGACCTTAGAGATGTTTGCAGGCACCCCGCATGCAAAGGGTTGTGAGTCAAGTGGATGGAACAGACTTCCCTATAAATTCCTATTGCAACGTATACACATGACCTTGCACCATTGAGATGCTGTGATTGACATTGTCCCATTGTGGCAGGCTTTTCCATTTGAAACCCCCTATTCTTCAGGCATTATAATACTTGAAAAATTAACTGAGTTGAAATCCACCACTCTGATTATGGGAAGTGTGGGGAGGGTGTGAGAGAGAGGACATTTGGGGAGAATCTGTTTGGGCACTTTTTTTAAACAGTCAGAATGAACAAACCCCAAAGTTATTTGGCCCTAGAAAACATGCCTGTGCATAAACAGGCCAGGTCCTGGAAAGTTTATATCACGTGTAACCCAGAGACTTATAAGTATTTTGCTCTTCAGACTCTCTAGCTCTTTCTACCTCTTTGGGTTAAAAACCACGTTACGTGAAAGTTAAGATTGGGACAGAAAGGAAGAAAACCAAATGAATTCATGTCTAAGTGTGAAATAATAAATATAATTAATAATGGAAATGGACCATGCCCTGTAGTATCTAGGCAGAAAATGGCAATATTAAGGAAATACACCAAAGGCTGTGGCATCTGAGGATATGATGCTTTATCTGAATCACCATGCTTCCCTGGGTCTCTCTCAGCCTTAATATTAAAGAAATATCACACTGCATGGAGAAGACAGACACACGATTACTGGGAAGCTCCTCAGTAAGATATTGAAGTGTTGGACACATGACAAGTGCATTGTTTGGGGTGTCAAGATATAGAGATGTTAAAATTCAACATCTGGATAATAATAAATGTCTGGGAGTGCAGATCAGTTAGACTCTTGGTCACAGTCACTGGTCATCTTCGTCCTCCCATGTATTCTTTCTCCATCCACTGTCAAGAAGGGCCAGGCCAGGCCAACAGACTAGTAGGCCTGTAATAATAATGATCATGGTAATAATACTTGTACAGCACTTTTCATCTTCAAAGCTCTGTACAGACATGAATGTATTACTTTTTGCCTCAGTTCTGTTGGGTAGGAAAGTATGAACCCAGTTTTACAGAGGGGGAAGCAGAGAGAGGTAAAGGGTCAGATCCTGTGAGGCACTGAATCACTGTTGGAGCGGGTGCAGAGCAGAGACGCTCAGCACTTCACATTATCAGCCCCTAAATGCCATGTCCAAGGCCACCCAGCACTCTCAAGCTATGTGAAGGAGAAATCAGATGGTTTATGGTTAAAAAGCAAGCCTCTTGCAGCCTGTTCTGGCTGTGACATAGCCTCACTCCTGGAATTCTTGAGGCACTTGGCCCTCAGCCTCACTACACCTGACTGTCTCCAAACAACCACACCTGTCCTGTCAGATGCTGACCTTTGCACGCTCTTCAGCTACTTATTATCAGGGTGATTCAGTGGCATTTAGCTGAGCAATTCCAATGATCATGCCTATGCCACTTGTGAGTTCTTTCTCCTCCTGACGCTTCTGGGGATAAATAGGATAAACAAACAGTTAAAAAACATTAATGTGCATTATAAAAATTTGTGTTATTACTATGCAGCTCTTTGCCTCTGACACAACATAAACTCACTTGCCATCCCCAGATATGTGCTTTTACTGCTGAGCTGAACAGAAGGAGGCTGGGTTGTTACTCTGATAATATTGACTGAAAACTTTTCACATAACCTCCAAAAACTGGCTGATCCTGTTCGGGGACATGCACAATTTAAATAAATATGTGCCCAGATACAAAAGGAAGCCACTTTTCAACACAATACTGAAAATACTGAGTGATCTGAGTTTCGTCTTTGTTCATTAACTCATTATAACTCTACAGCCAGTTTTGTCCACAGGCAATGCTGATCTCTTCAGTGGGAAGGAGGCCAAGAATTGCATCATTTTAATGGTCCCTGAAGGAACAGTATTGCTGTGCCATATTATATGTAGAAGCATCTCCACTCCTGCAGAAAAGCCTCAATTTTTAACATGTCTTTTGCATGGGTGGTGATAGCTTGTGAGTTCAGTTTGCAGCCTCCCTCTCAACACAGTGCAGTTCAAGCACAGGTCTCCAGGTCCTGCCATGTGTGTTTTCATGTATAGTTTGCATGCTAGAAGTGCTTTCTTGTTTGCTTGTTATTACAATCTTTATTGCCTGTTCCCCAGCCAAAATTCTGTAATTCTCTTGATAAGTACCACTCTGGGCAGCTTTCAGGGTGTTTAGAAATGGAAATGACAAGTTGCCTCCTTGGGTGTTTAATACAAAATGCACTTAAATTGTTAGGAGCAGTGATACAAGCCTGGAGCATTGTTGGGCTTTCTGTGTTCATTTCCTAGCAGAGTGTTGGCTACGTAGAGTTGCTTTAGGAGGGAGTCTCTTGGTCCTGGTAGGAATATGGATTTGCGGAGTCCTGAGACTAAGGGGAGCAGTTTTGCCCCTTTTGGTTTCTTGATTGGGAATGAGCAGCACTGGCCATATGGTCCCAGAGGTTGTCTTGTTCTATTGGTATGATAGTGCCATAGGGGAAGCAGGAGGATTTCTACACCTGTGAGATAGGATGAGGGGAGCAGTTATGACAAGGTTTCCTCACTCTGTGTGGCCTCCCAGACACCCTCTCCCCAAACTGTAAACAATGAACTTGTGAAGCACAGCTGTATCGCAGCTGGGCCCCAATGGAGCCCCTGCCCATTGAGCTGTTACATGTTTTGATGTGCACAAGATCCCCTCTGGTGCAATCTGGCTTCAGGATTTAGCATATCCCAGACTCCACTGGATGCAACAATTCAACATGGCGCTGCAGTAGAACTGTTGATAACCTCCTAAACGTGCCCACACGCTGTCAGTTTGTTTCTGCATTAACACCTTACCAAGGCGGCTCCTGCTTGTCAGTGTTCTGCCTGCAACTGGCCCCTGCTGAAGAGCATCTCTGTCTGGTAAGAGCAAAGTATCATTTTCCCAGACCAGAAAGAGTTCTAGGGGACTGGCTTCCTTCCCTAGAAAGACCTGTAAGTGTCACCTCCGAGGCTACGAGCCCTGGCTTCTCTAAATAACTAGTACTGAATGTTAGTTCAAAGTTGTACATTTGCATGGCTTAAGATGCTGGTTTGATGTTTGTAGGGGCAGGAGGCATTCCTCTTGGTGGGCAGGGGAATCTTGTTGGAGTTCTGAGTATCACCCATTTCCCCTTGCTTTAAACTCCTTTAAGGCCCTATCCTTTGTTTTCATCCTTCTGGGCGAGGACTGGATGCTGCTTGTGAATGCAGCCAGAGGGGAGGAGGGGTGCAACTGAGCACCAAGACATTACCCAGCACTGTCTGATAGTTCTAGTGAGTGTCTAGCTGAGAATTGCAGCAGGGCCAGTTTGGAGAGAAAGTTTAGATTGCAGGGAATGCCAACCAAAGACAGAACAAGAGAGAGAAGGGAACTGTCCTAAAAGTGACATTCATTTTGATCATGCAGTGTGTAAGTGTAGCTGGGCTGCTCCCAGGATATTAGCTAGCCAAGGTGGGTGAGATAGTATCTTTTATTGGATCCAACTTCTGTTGGTGAGAGAGACAAGTTTACTGCACAGCCATGGGAGCCCAGATTCCTGGGCTCTTCTGCTCTGGCTTTGCCACTGACTCACGGTGTGATACTGGGAAAGTCACTGAACTGGTCTATGCCTCAGTTTCCCCATCTGCAAAACCCACTTATTTCTCTCTTAGCAGGGCTGTGACGGTTAAATTAATGCTTGTAAAAGTGCTTTTAGACCCTGGTATAAGAGGATCTATACTAAATGCAAAAAGGTGTTACGGTGGCAAGTTTACTGAATTCATTGGGCCTATGCAGGAGTTATAGAAACCAGGCCCAAGCTGCTTAGCTTGTTCTGCTCACAGCAGCAGCTTCATGTCAGGGCACCAGTAGTATGTTTTGCAGGTGGTCCGCAGAAAGTAACTTTGGCTTCACTGTGGGTATATACGGAAGGCAGGCCGTGGCCTCCTGGAGCACCCATAAAGCTGAACTGCTGGAGGTTATTAAGTTCTTTTTGTATCTTGTCTGAGGGCTTGTCTACACTACTCACCGGATCGGCAGGCAGCGATCGATCCAGCGGGGGTCTAGATGCGATAAATCAACTGCTGAGTGCTCTCCCGTCAACTCCGGTACTCCACCAGAACGAGGAGCGCAAGCAGAGTCGACGGGAGAGCGTCAGCTGTCGACTTACCACAGTGAAGACATCATGGTAAGTAGATCTAAGTATCTCGACTTCAGCTACGCTATTCACGTAACTGAAGTTGCGTATCTTAGATCGACCCCGTGCAGTAGTGTAGACAAGCCCTGAGACTAAGA